TTACATGCAACAGATGACGCTGTTTTTCAAGAAATGCATAGTTTTACCTGTAACAGGTGTGGTATCTATACTTATACTTACGAATTGAATGGTATGGTAAACAGCACAGCTCAATTCCAACACAATGTCACACAAAATAATTAAATAAAAAATAAATTAAATCGAAATCTATGAAAATAAAATTTATTAATGCAATCTGAAACAATCAAATGGAATTCGAAACATATTTAGTATAGCGTGCATGTTGTTATTATGTGCAACAGATGGCGCTGTTTTTCAAAAACGCATGCTTTTATCTGTCACAGAGGTGGCATCTATATAGTAGGTAAATAAAAAGACGCACATATTCGAATGGAACGTTGTCAGAATTTCAAAGCAATCGGTGAAGAACTTTGCGAGATTGCAGCGTGTGTTGCTCTTACATCCAACAGATGGCGTTGTTTTTCAAAAAAAGCATGTTTTCTCCAGTCACAGGTAAAGCATGTATATAGGAGGTATATAGAAGCATGCGCTTATTCGAATGTAACGTTGTGTCAAAATTTCAAAGCAATTGGTAAAGAGGTTTCGATGATTTCTATCACATGAAAAACACAGTTTTAAAAACTAAGCATGTTTTTTTTCCGTCACAAAGTGACATCAATATAATATGTATATAAAAACCTGCTCTGATGCGAATGGAACATTGTGTGAAAATTTCTAAGCAATCAGTGAAGAACTTTCGGAGTTTAGCGATTTTGAAGAAACGAACATCTCCATTTTTATTTATATACATATATATATATATATATATATATATATATATATATATATATATATATATATATATATATATATATATATATATATATATATATATATATATATATATATATATATATATATATATATATATATATATATATATATATATATATATATATATATATATATATATATATATATATATATATATATATATATATATATATATATATATGGTGTATACTGGCAGCAGGTTTTCTTTCAAACATGTTTCATTGAATATGACCGCATATTCTGTATTTATTATTTTCTGGTTTAGGGCTTCTATCCCTCTAACTATTTTCTTAGCATCAGGGCTTAATTGAAATAGGAGTTCTCCAAAACTCATTTTCGTACTTTTAAGGTGAAGAAAAGAAGTGATTTACTATAGAGTGTATTACACTTATTTGTATAATTTGCACGACGTTTCGAACCTCCATGGTTCATTCTCAAGTGAACAGATCTTACAATACTAGTTGATTTTATACCCGCATTAGGTCAGGTGATAATACAAATATTATATTTGTATATACAAATACCAGGTGTATTATCACCTGACCTAATGCGGGTATAAAATCAACTAGTATTGTAAGATCTGTTCACTTGAGAATGAACCATGGAGGTTCGAAACGTCGTGCAAATTATACAAATAAGTGTAATACACTCTATAGTAAATCACTTCTTTTCTTCACCTTAAAAGTACGAAAATGAGTTTTGGAGAACTCCTATTTCAATTAAGCCCTGATGCTAAGAAAATAGTTAGAGGGATAGAAGCCCTAAACCAGAAAATAATAAATATATATATATATATATATATATATATATATATATATATATATATATATATATATATATATATATATATATATATATATATATATATATATATATATATATATATATATATATATATATATATATATATATATATATATATATATATATATATATATATGTGTGTTCACTTGTGGTTTATGCAAGTATAGGCTTATAGCATGGACACAAGTTCTCCCACATTAACAGTGGCTTGATGAAAAACGTATAGTAACGCCTCACTAATCTAGTGCTCTTGGGAAGTGGGGATATATGAGGTGTATATATACTTTGAAGTCTCTACTTCTTTTAAGGGTCTGAGTGGTGTAGTGGGTTAAGGCATACTAGTTATGGCAGCTACTGGAAGGTAGTTGTCTCGAATCTCGAATCTGGTGTTCTCCAGACTCATTTTGTAAAGAATTGGAAGGAGGGTACATATGTAATCTGTTTTAGTACTGATAATTAAGGTGGTTCCAGAGGAAATGTTTTTATGGTGTTCACAGTCCAGAGAGTGATGTTTTAAAAAGAATTCCCAATATTATTAACTAGTGAATTTACTGGCTACTTGGCAATGATTCCCCCATTTTCTTCGGAGGAAAATTCCACTGGATCCTCGGTTTCTTTGAATTAATTTGTTACTAGTAAATTAGCAGCAATATTATGTAACTACTAGCTGTACCCGGCCACGCATTGCTGTGGTTCAGCAACATGTGCGTTGCTGAGCGACAGCAACTTTCCCTTGTCTCCCAGTCCTCCCCCACCATTTTCCCCCTCACCCGTCACCTCGCCCTCCCAACAATTCCTCACTCTTCCATCCCCTAATCTTCCCAGCCATTTCCCACTCCCCTGTCCCCTTGTCCTCCCTATCATTCCCCCCTCCTCCATCATTTTGTCCTCTACCCCATCCCTCACATCACAGTTCCCTCGTCCTCCTAACCATTCCCCACTCCACCATCTCCCATTCCCCCGTCCCCCTCCTCCTCCTTACCATTACGATGTCGCCTCGTCCTCCCCCGCCATCCCCAATTCCTTTATCCCATCGTCCTCCCCACCGTTCCCCACTCCCTCGTCTGATGCATTCTCAAATGATCTGATGTTCTCTTCAGAAAATTTAACACATCAAATGGTCTGATGTCCCATCACTGAAATATAAGAAAAATAGTTTAAAAAATTATATGAAAATCAATAAAAAATAAACTATACTCACGAAATGAACGGAATGATAAACAACACATCTCAATTCCATCGCAATGTCACACAAAATAATTAAGTAAATATGAAAATAAATCAAAATGTATGAAAATTAAATTTGTCAATGCAATTTGAAACATTGAAATGGAATTGCGTCATATTTAGTATAGCATATGTTGCTCTTACATGCAACAGATGGCTCTATTTCTTAAAAAAAAATGTTTTTACCTGCCACAGGTGTGGCATCTATACTTATACTTATGAAATGAACGATATGGTAAACAATACAGCTCAATTCCAATGCAATATCACATAAAATAATTAGATCAAAATGAAAACAAATCGAAATCTTTGAAAATTCTATTTATCAATGCAATCGGGAACAGTGAAATGGATTCGTAACATATTTAGTACAACGTTCATTTTGTAAGTATAAATATAGGTGCCTCATTTGTAAACGGTAAAAACATTCTGCTTTTTTTAAGAAACAGCACCATCTGTTGCACGTAAGAGCCATACACACTATAAAAAATATGTTACGATTCCATTTCACTGTTCCCGATTGCATTGATAAATAGAATTTTCAAAGATTTCGATTTGTTTTCATTTTGATTTAATTATTTTATGTGATATTGCATTGGAATTGAGCTGTATTGTTTACCATATCGTTCATTTCATAAGTATAAGTATAGATGCCACACCTGTGGCAGGTAAAAACATTTTTTTTTTAAGAAATAGAGTCATCTGTTGCATGTAAGAGCAACACACGCAATACTAAATATGACACAATTCCATTTCAATGTTTCAAATTGCATTGACAAATTTAATTTTCATACATTTTGATTTATTTTCATATTTACTTAATTATTTTGAGTGACATTGCGATGGAATTGAGATGTGTTGTTTATCATTCCGTCCATTTCGTGAGTATAGTTTATTTTTTATTGATTTTTATTTAATTTTTTAAACTATTTTTCTTATATTTCAGTGATGGGACATCAGACCATTTGATGTGTTAAATTTTCTGAAGAGAACATCAGATCATTTGAGAATGTATCAGACGAGGGAGTGGGGAGGACGATGGGATGTAAGTTAGAGATAGTTTTGAGGACGATGGGATGTAAGTTAGAGATAGTGGGGAGGACTATGGGACAGGGAAGGGGGTAATGGTGGGGAGGACGACGGGACGAGGGAGTTGGGGAGGAAGAGGGGGACGAGGGAGTTGGGGAGGACGAGGGGACGAGGGAGTTGGGGATGGTCGGGACGAGGATTGTCCGTCCTGTCTGCCATGTCACATTCCCCGCCCTATGGAAGCACACCTTCATCCTGTCACAAACATCACTTGAAATATAAACCCTATTTTATCTGAGAATCTCTATGAAGCAAGATTTTCTTACATCTCCTGCTGAGTCCCATCAATACTGTACCTCCTGTACTCATGCCTGAAATGTTCTCTGTCTCCACTATCGGGGGAGCAGCTACTTTCTCTGAACACTCGTCTACCAGTGCAGAGAATGTGTTTGGAGAATATTACATGTATCAATGACCGCTTCATTGTCTTCCTTAGACACTTATTCCTGGAGACAGCCAATATTATTGTTTTCATATGAACTTCATCCACTATAACTTAAGTCTTTGTGTCGCGACAAACAATTGTGCATCTTCTTCACTTCCTTGTTAATGGGTCTAAATCTTTCCTCATGTCGGCGCACGTGTCCAATTCCCGCACTAAGCTCGGCTCCAACTCCAATCAGTAACAATCCAGAAGCTAACCATCTTCTTGAGGTTATCTTGAGATAATTTCGAGGCTTAGCATCCCTGCGGCCCGGTTCTCGACCAGGTCTCCTTTTTGTTACACACCCCCAGGAAGCAGTCGGTAGCAGCTATCTAACTGTCAGGCACCTATTTACTGCTAGATGAACAGATGCATCAGGGTGAAAGAAACTCTGTTCACTTGTTTCCACCTCCACCGGGGATTAAACTCGTAACCTCAGGATAATGAATCCCGAGTGCTGTCAACTCAACTGTCAGGCCCTCTACGCAACTAGGGTCAACTAGGGTCTGAACGCAACGCAATGCAACTAGGTAAGTACAATTACTATACACAACACTCTGGGGTCTTTAACAGTTTTTCAACATGTCAAGAGCCCATCTAGAGGTGAGCTTCAACTTGTGATCCGTTATGATCCTATCATCTCTATTCCTAACAGGTTGTTAAGCTGCAGGTATGGGAACTTTGGCAAGATGGGTGATGTTGTGTGCATTGATGTGGGTGTGGGCGGCCTCGGAGACCCTCTACAGGTTAGACAGCTACCCCGGCAATTGCTACCTCAACACACGGAACTTTTCAGTTAACTCCATCATAACCTGTGCCATCTACTGCAGGATCCAACAATGTGTATTCTTCTCTTTCAAGGGTTTGTTCTCGCCTTAGTTTGCTTACTTGATAATATTTACCCATGTTAACTGTTTTAGAGAAGCATGGCATAACGCCCTGCAAAATTGTCCATGGGAGGCTCCAGTCTTGATAAGTTATCAATGTTTGTTCCATTGTCCCGAGTGCCTTTGTCCCAATTCACGCGGGTCGCCCCGGATGAGGACATCACCATGATAGTCAATATTTGTGGTGAGTTATCTCCTGGCCCCTGGTCCCTCAGACCTCCTGGACCTGGTCCCTCAGACCTCCTGGACCTGGTCCCTCAGACCTCCTGGACCTGGTCCCTCAGACCTCCTGGACCTGGTCCCTCAGACCTCCTGGACCTGGTCCCTCAGACCTCCTGGACCTGGTCTCTCAGATCTCCCCCAGAGAACCCCTCCTCATGGTGACTAGTGTTGATCAAGAGCTGGCTCCTAGGCCCAACGTATCTCATTATGTCTCCCTGGAAAAAACTTTGCCAAGTTAATCAGTGGAGTATGTATCCCTGGGACCCACCTCTCCCGGGTCATCCCCACAATGATAATCAATACGAGAACTTAGCTCTTGGACGCCACACACCCGAGGCTGCCCGAATGACTCCTGTCATGATAGCCTTGGTTTGTGAAGAGCAAGATCTGGGGCCATAACTACTTCAGGTCGTTTCCGCCATGATAATGAGAGTCTGGTGTGTTTGTTGCGTCAGATGGCGTGTGTGTGGTGCACGACCCAGGGCTGGATCAGCAGGTGGGCGAGGAACAGGCTCGAGTCTTCACTCCCTACCAACCAACCGCTCCCGTAGACGTTGCTCGCAGCAAGCCCACACTTCCAAACTTTCAGTGGGGCTCGTAAGTATTAGTATGGGGTCTGACTTCCCTAAGTGTCTCATTTTTATTTTTACTCGTCTCAAATTATTTTTTCCCTCTTTATTACCCATTCTCTTTCTTTCTCTCTCTGATAAGAGGCATAGGCGAACCAGGATCTTCTGTGTAAAATTATGATTTCCAGGCATTGTAACACATGTTTTGTCTGTTAACAGAATCTGTGTTGAGTTAGTGCGTGTACTAGAGAGTACTGTACTCCTTTGGCATAAGGTAGGGCGGAAAAGGAGAAGGTACTGAGCCAGAATGTAAATATTTTATTTCGTGTTGTGATCTCTGTGCATGAATCAAAATTCTCCCCTGCATTCATTAGTAAGAGCAGAACTAGTGGAAGGGATCCGAGGGATGACCTATTATAGACATCCTGGCCTGGACACTTCAACTTTCTATCCTTTCATTCATTATGAACACTCTCTCAGTGGTGTGCGATTGGAGGAGAATTAAAGAAGCAGAGATTATTTGGACGCTCTGTTCCAGAATTTTGCTGTGAACAGGCAATCTGATGTTGGCTTTTGGAGAGGGAAGAATTGAACTGGTTAGGAATACCTGAGCTCCTATAGCATTGCAGCAAGTGCCTTTGTCCCATTGATATGTTCATCATTGTTATTTGCTCAAGAAAGAAATTCCTTATAGAATCTATTCCAGATAAAATATTTACGTTAAATAAATTTTACACAGTTAGATTCATTCTCGACACACAATCGGTATTCCCAGATTCGAATCCAAGAAATGAAGGAACTGGTTGGGCATGTTTCCTATCGCCTAATGCCTGTTCACCTGGCAGTAAATAGGTACCTGGGTGTAATTCAGCATGTTGTGGGTTTGCATCTTGGGGAAGGTCATTAGTTCATGGGGAGGGTCACTGTTCTTGGGGAGGGTCACTGTTCTTGGGGAGGGTCACTGTTCTTGGGGAGGGTCACTGTTCTTGGGGAGGGTCACTGTTCTTGGGGAGGGTCACTCTTCTTGGGGAGGGTCACTGTTCTTGGGGAGGGTCACTGTTCTTGGGGAGGGTCACTCTTCTTGGGGAGGGTCACTCTTCTTGGGGAGGGTCACTGTTCTTGGGGAGGGTCACTGTTCTTGGGGAGGGTCATTAGTTCTTGGGGAGGGTCACTGTTCTTGGGGAGGGTCACTCTTCTTGGGGAGGGTCACTGTTCTTGGGGAGGGTCACTGTTCTTGGGGAGGGTCACTGTTCTTGGGGAGGGTCACTCTTCTTGGGGAGGGTCACTCTTCTTGGGGAGGGTCACTCTTCTTGGGGAGGGTCACTGTTCTTGGGGAGGGTCACTAGTTCTTGGGGAGGGTCACTAGTTCATAGGGAGGGTCACTGTTCTTGGGGAGGGTCACTGTTCTTGGGGAGGGTCACTGTTCTTGGGGAGGGTCACTGTTCTTGGGGAGGGTCACTGTTCTTGGGGAGGGTCACTCTTCTTGGGGAGGGTCACTCTTCTTGGGGAGGGTCACTGTTCTTGGGGAGGGTCACTGTTCTTGGGGAGGGTCACTAGTTCATAGGGAGGGTCACTCTTCTTGGGGAGGGTCACTGTTCTTGGGGAGGGTCACTGTTCTTGGGGAGGGTCACTCTTCTTGGGGAGGGTCACTCTTCTTGGGGAGGGTCACTCTTCTTGGGGAGGGTCACTGTTCTTGGGGAGGGTCACTCTTCTTGGGGAGGGTCACTGTTCTTGGGGAGGGTCACTAGTTCTTGGGGAGGGTCACTGTTCTTGGGGAGGGTCACTGTTCTTGGGGAGGGTCACTCTTCTTCTGGAGTGTCACTGTTCTTGGGGAGGGTCACTGTTCTTGGGGAGGGTCACTGTTCTTGGGGAGGGTCACTAGTTCATAGGGAGGGTCACTCTTCTTTGGGAGGGTCACTGTTCTTGGGGAGGGTCACTGTTCTTGGGGAGGGTCACTGTTCTTGGAGAGAGTCACTAGTTCTTGGGGAGGGTCACTGTTCTTGGGGAGGGTCACTGTTCTTGGGGAGGGTCACTGTTCTTGGAGAGAGTCACTAGTTCTTGGGGAGGGTCACTGTTCTTGGGGAGGGTCACTGTTCTTGGGGAGGGTCACTGTTCTTGGGGAGGGTCACTGTTCTTGGAGAGAGTCACTAGTTCTTGGGGAGGGTCACTGTTCTTGGGGAGGGTCACTAGTTCATAGGGAGGGTCACTCTTCTTGGGGAGGGTCACTGTTCTTGGGGAGGGTCACTCTTCTTGGGGAGGGTCACTGTTCTTGGGGAGGGTCACTAGTTCATAGGGAGGGTCACTCTTCTTGAGGAGGGTCACTGTTCTTGGGGAGGGTCACTGTTCTTGGGGAGGGTCACTGTTCTTGGGGAGGGTCACTGTTCTTGGGGAGGGTCACTAGTTCTTGGGGAGGGTCACTAGTTCATAGGGAGGGTCACTCTTCTTGGGGAGGGTCACTGTTCTTGGGGAGGGTCACTCTTCTTGGGGAGGGTCACTGTTCTTGGGGAGGGTCACTGTTCTTGGGGAGGGTCACTAGTTCTTGGGGAGGGTCACTAGTTCATAGGGAGGGTCACTCTTCTTGGGGAGGGTCACTGTTCTTGGGGAGGGTCACTCTTCTTGGGGAGGGTCACTGTTCTTGGGGAGGGTCACTCTTCTTGGGGAGGGTCACTCTTCTTGGGGAGGGTCACTGTTCTTGGGGAGGGTCACTGTTCTTGGGGAGGGTCACTAGTTCATAGGGAGGGTCACTCTTCTTGGAAAGGGTCACTGTTCTTGGGGAGGGTCACTGTTCTTGGGGAGGGTCACTCTTCTTGGGGAGGGTCACTCTTCTTGGGGAGGGTCACTCTTCTTGGGGAGGGTCACTCTTCTTGGGGAGGGTCACTCTTCTTGGGGAGGGTCACTGTTCTTGGGGAGGGTCACTAGTTCTTGGGGAGGGTCACTGTTCTTGGGGAGGGTCACTGTTCTTGGGGAGGGTCACTCTTCTTCTGGAGGGTCACTGTTCTTGGGGAGGGTCACTGTTCTTGGGGAGGGTCACTGTTCTTGGGGAGGGTCACTAGTTCATAGGGAGGGTCACTCTTCTTGGGGAGGGTCACTGTTCTTGGGGAGGGTCACTGTTCTTGGAGAGAGTCACTAGTTCTTGGGGAGGGTCACTGTTCTTGGGGAGGGTCACTGTTCTTGGGGAGGGTCACTCTTCTTCTGGAGGGTCACTGTTCTTGGGGAGGGTCACTGTTCTTGGGGAGGGTCACTGTTCTTGGGGAGGGTCACTAGTTCATAGGGAGGGTCACTCTTCTTGGGGAGGGTCACTGTTCTTGGGGAGGGTCACTGTTCTTGGGGAGGGTCACTGTTCTTGGGGAGGGTCACTGTTCTTGGGGAGGGTCACTCTTCTTGGGGAGGGTCACTCTTCTTGGGGAGGGTCACTCTTCTTGGGGAGGGTCACTCTTCTTGGGGAGGGTCACTCTTCTTGGGGAGGGTCACTGTTCTTGGGGAGGGTCACTCTTCTTCTGGAGGGTCACTGTTCTTGGGGAGGGTCACTGTTCTTGGGGAGGGTCACTGTTCTTGGGGAGGGTCACTCTTCTTCTGAAGGGTCACTCTTCTTGGGGAGGGTCACTGTTCTTGGGGAGGGTCACTGTTCTTGGGGAGGGTCACTGTTCTTGGGGAGGGTCACTGTTCTTGGGGAGGGTCATTAGTTCTTGGGGAGGGTCACTAGTTCTTGGGGAGGGTCACTGTTCTTGGGGAGGGTCACTGTTCTTGGGGAGGGTCATTAGTTCTTGGGGAGGGTCACTGTTCTTGGGGAGGGTCACTGTTCTTGGGGAGGGTCACTAGTTCTTGGGGAGGGTCACTCTTCTTCTGGAGGGTCACTGTTCTTGGGGAGGGTCACTGTTCTTGGGGAGGGTCATTAGTTCTTGGGGAGGGTCACTAGTTCTTGGGGAGGGTCACTGTTCTTGGGGAGGGTCACTGTTCTTGGGGAGGGTCACTGTTCTTGGGGAGGGTCATTAGTTCTTGGGGAGGGTCACTGTTCTTGGGGAGGGTCACTCTTCTTCTGGAGGGACACTGTTCTTGGGGAGGGTCACTCTTCTTCTGGAGGGTCACTGTTCTTGGGGAGGGTCACTCTTCTTCTGGAGGGTCACTAGTTCTTGGGGAGGGTCACTCTTCTTCTGGAGGGTCACTAGTTCTTGGGGAGGGTCACTCTTCTTCTGGAGGGTCACTGTTCTTGGGGAGGGTCATTAGTTCTTGGGGAGGGTCATTAGTTCTTGGGGAGGGTCACTAGTTCTTGGGGAGGGTCACTGTTCTTGGGGAGGGTCACTGTTCTTGGGGAGGGTCACTGTTCTTGGGGAGGGTCATTAGTTCTTGGGGAGGGTCACTAGTTCTTGGGGAGGGTCACTGTTCTTGGGGAGGGTCACTGTTCTTGGGGAGGGTCATTAGTTCTTGGGGAGGGTCATTAGTTCTTGGGGAGGGTCACTGTTCTTGGGGAGGGTCACTCTTCTTGGGGAGGGTCACTCTTCTTGGGGAGGGTCACTCTTCTTGGGGAGGGTCACTCTTCTTGGGGAGGGTCACTCTTCTTGGGGAGGGTCACTGTTCTTGGGGAGGGTCACTCTTCTTCTGGAGGGTCACTGTTCTTGGGGAGGGTCACTCTTCTTCTGGAGGGTCACTGTTCTTGGGGAGGGTCACTGTTCTTGGGGAGGGTCACTGTTCTTGGGGAGGGTCACTCTTCTTCTGAAGGGTCACTCTTCTTGGGGAGGGTCACTGTTCTTGGGGAGGGTCACTGTTCTTGGGGAGGGTCACTGTTCTTGGGGAGGGTCACTGTTCTTGGGGAGGGTCATTAGTTCTTGGGGAGGGTCACTAGTTCTTGGGGAGGGTCACTGTTCTTGGGGAGGGTCACTGTTCTTGGGGAGGGTCATTAGTTCTTGGGGAGGGTCACTGTTCTTGGGGAGGGTCACTGTTCTTGGGGAGGGTCACTAGTTCTTGGGGAGGGTCACTCTTCTTCTGGAGGGTCACTGTTCTTGGGGAGGGTCACTGTTCTTGGGGAGGGTC